GAGTGTAGGGGATAGGAAAACAGGGAAACGGGGCATCAGGGACCTGGGACCAAAGTCCAGAACCTGGGCCCATCTTTCCCTGTTTTGTCGGCATCTTTTACTCTTCGCTGGCGCTTCCGTCGCTGCAACGAGAGATGCAAATGGGAATGTCTGGCAAAGTGCACTGGGAGAAAAGTATATTTTAATATTTTAAAAGGTTTAGAAAGTATTAAAGTCACTGAAATAAAATTGTTTTTAGTGTGTTTTAGATAAATTTAATTTTACAAGTCATGTATAAAATATTTGAAAGTCTTGTGATTTCATTTCTCTTACATTTTTAAATCCTATTTTAGATTCAACCGATTACATGAAAAAGGGAGACATTAACGTTAAACTTTTCTATTATGCAAATATAATTCCATCATAAAAAGTTTGTCATAAAACCTTCAGAAGATGGCGTTAGAAATTAATGTATTCCTTTGTATTTCTGAATATTTTTTTCCACGTGTATGATTGAGTGGAGACCCCATCCACTCGGCTCAAAAGTCTTTTGACAATATTTGCGCGCCCTGACAATAAAACGCAAAGTGAAGTCTCGAGCTGCAGCAGCTCCTTTATCTGCCTCCCCAGTATTTTCGTATTTCAGTATTCCTGAATTCTTATATTTGTGTGTTTGTGCGGTGGGTCATTTAAATTTCATGCTAAATCAAAAATGCTTGTGTTTATTATTTGTTTTGTGTGCCGTGCTGAGGCCGAGGACTCCGTGGTTCGCTTTTCCTGTTTGTCTTTGAGTTCCAGTTCATTTCAACCGCTTGTGTGTAAGTTGATGTCTCCTCCTTTTGTTAGCCACGAAGGCGCCCTTCTCCATTCCCCCTTCCCGTTCTCCTTCCCAGGCCCCTGCCCCTCCCACTCATCGATTGCCGGCGGCATCCTTTGTGGCCTACACAGGATGTCGATTACATTTGTTTACTGCACTCGGCGCACTATAATTTCCCCTCGCTTAATGAACAGGTGCCCGTGTTGTTGTCGTTGCTGAAAGTGCATGCCTCCATCCAGGACATAGTTCTGGGACCCAGAGACATCGGAGACGAAAATGGCCATCTTCAGCTTCAGCGCCGCACAAATGACATTTAATCTCAAAAGCGCATCACCAGATTTACGCCCAAGACAAGATCAAAGCGTCAACTTAGCATTCAGCAGCCCACCAATCAGATGAACTGCGAAATCCACTCGAGATGCAAGTGGATATCGAGACTTCTCCTCTGGATTCCTTATTTCACATTCAGTGAGGTCTTGAGTGGAGAACTGGAGTAATAATCATGTGATTTGCATTTAATTTTTCAATTGCTTTGAATTAGACCTCAATCATTTTTGAAGAAAGAACATTTCATTCTTGCTTAAATCATCCAATGATGTTTAGATTTGTATTAGTTATTATTTTCGTAATTATTAGATTCTATTTATTTTAAAGGAATTCAATCTGTATTTTAAATTCATCTATCAGGACTTACAGTCACTCTATTCAAAATAAGCAGACAATACATTGTCCCTGAGTTAAGCTTTTTAGACAGTTGCAAATGTGCTCAACAAAGTTGCATAAGTGGGATTAGCGATGTTAAGAGCCAAGGTCTGGTGACCATGGTGACCACTCCCGGTCCAAAGATAAATAAGCTATAACAATTTAATGACTAGGACGCAGATCGCTGGAATCGTGGGTGTCGGAGAAGTGGGATCCCAGTCCCCGGTGTCATTACTCAATCAGCAGGCCATAAATGCAAGCTGATTAATGCAGCCGCCAGGCCGACGACAAGTGCAACATTTCCGGTGACAATGATGGGGACTTCTTCAAGCACTAAGAAAAATTACCATATTATTTGATTTAATGAATAGCTCAAACAGAGCTAAACATACTTAAAATAAAAAAATCATATTTTATTGGCAGGTCTTTCAAGAGTTCAGTATCAAAAACTTAAAAACTTAAAGTCCATAATTTAATTTAAACAAAATAATATTGGTTTACTTGATTATTAAAAAACGTATTTCACTTGTTAAATATTAAGTAAATAATAAAGTTATTAATAATAACTTATTATATTTCGACTTGTCTAATTATCTTTCTATTTAAAAGTATATTTTTCTGTGCAGCTTGGGTCTGGATGTAGTCGACGTCATGCAGTCTGCGGATCACGGAGTGGCCATCAAACGGAGGCCACATTCGGGGCCCATGACAATGACAAGTGTCAAAACGCAGGTTGCACTCATTTAAATTGGCATGATTTACTCTTGCCCCAACCAGCTACCGCCTTGCAGCCCATCGCCTGTCATCCGCTGGATGCAACTGTGGCAATATGGCAAATTCCAACTGCACTTAACAAGCCGCAGCCGAAGGAAATGACAAACAGCAGTGCGCAGCGGAGACAAGACGCTGACAGGGCTAAAGGGACTGGGAGATGGGGATGGGCGATCCCATCCGATCCGATCCGGATTCCGGAGTGGGCATTGAGTCGAGTCGGGGGCAGAGGGTCGCCGTCGCCTCATGTTGTCCATGTTCATCGCCAAGTCCCCTCCATCCTCACAGCCATTTGGTGTGCATGCAAAGTGTTGAATAATTTGTTGCGAAATATTTCTAGATACACAATGTCGCCGATTTAAGTGCACCTTAAAAATTTGTCAGTTAAATTTTCTAAAAAACCCTTCTTTTAGTCAATAAAAAATTATTGAAATATTTAACATTTATAATAGATCTTATAAATATATCTTATGATTTCGTTTTAAGTCAAGAATAAATTTGTTTTAGGTCACCAGGGAAAAAAGGGCTTTATTCAATTAAAATAGTTATATTTTTAAAGAGTGACCATGAATTGTTCCATCTATCCAAACCTAGAAATCGTTTGGATTTGAAGTTTTAGAGATTACATTTGAGAACAGACTAAAATTAACTTTCTTTATAATGTTAACTTTCTTCTAGATCTGTAGCTAAATATCCAAATATATTGCAGATGGCACAATTTGTAAGATTGATTTCACTTATAAAATCCGTCTGTTAAAAATGTATTTTTTTTAACAAGACTTTTCATAGTGGCTTACTCACAGCGTTATTTTTTCCATTCCTTCTGCGTTCTTTTGTCGGGTGCCCCGTGGCTAGGCTGGATTCCTGCCGAAGAGCTCTGCCTCCAAGGCAAGCTTGTTAGTGTGCAACATGCTGTTGCAACGCCGGCGACTGCGGCAGCAACAGCGGCAGCGACTGCAACTGTTGCGTTGCTGCGTAATTAAGTGGGCGACAGTCTGGTAAATGCAAATTTCTTGGCCTTGTCGCACTGCTCGCCGCAGGACATGGCCAAATGCAGATGCTGGCGACCGATATGGCCGATAAGCCATGAAGCCGTGTTGCGATGCCGCTGTTAGCGGGCTTCTGTTGCTGTTGCCGTTCCTTGTAGACGGCGATAAGCGCTCGCCTATGATCTATGATCCTGACCTTGGCTGGCAGCTCAGAATGCGCATACGCAATGTTGCACATTCTTAATTAAAATGTCAAAATTGGTTTAATGGCGTTAATGAACGAACAGTGCGCTGTTCGTTAGTCGGGCGAACAGGTCGCTCGAGGTTTGACAATATTGTTTGCTGCCCCTCGACTTCCCCGCGAAATACTTTGGATTCCTTCGGTACGATGCTCGTGGCCTGCAGATCGCTTGGCGGCTTTTGATCTGCCGGGCGATCTGGGCTTTGATTTATCGCCAAGTGCACTGCGTTTTGCGAACAAAAGCAGCCGCCGCCAGCGCCGGAAAATGGAAAGTTTTTCCCATTGCCTTGACAGTTTGCGTAGCGACTGTTGATTTATAGAAATCAAAGCGCGGTCTGTTATTGGCCATTGTTGAGTTCGTTATCGTGGCCGAAAAACTTTGAGCTGAGCTATGCCAAAAAATTGGTAAGACAACACATCGCTGGTTTGTTTGATCAATGACCCTGGCTATTGTACAACAGAGAGATAGCTAAAAAATTAATAATTTTAATCCGCAGGGCAAAAAAGATTTGAGTTTTAAGGATCGGAATGCATTAAAGTATTATCTTATTTGCTTAATCTTTAACCATCATATAAAAATCTGATATTTATTAAATTACTTTTTAATTCAATCTAGTCATTGGCAACCATTTAAGGTTTTATAATTATGTTAATAACTCATCTTCGTGCATGAAGCTTTTATTTGTTTTAAATGTTAACTCAACTGTGAAGAACCAATGCTAAAGTCCATCCAATTCATCGCATTCGCTCTTAGTCAAAGCAGGCGCCTGCAGAGCAACACTTTAAGAAATTGTTCAATAATAAAATATTTATTTATCAAAAAAATGCAAAAGTATAAATTATCTCCTTTAAAATATCTAAGAATATCATCCAGTTTTGACATAAAATGTAATTCCTTTAATATTAGATCCAAAACGATTTTCCCTGTGCATCCAGCCCGAAGCTCGACTCTTGGGGGATCCCTTGTCTGCAAAGTTGTGTGATTTATTTGGGCGGCTCGGGTGTTTTTTGCTCTTTGTGCGCTGCGCTTTTTATTATGGCACAATTTTTATTGTTTTTATTGGTGCGCACTCGAGTGGATTTCGCGGCACAAAGTGGAGCGCCGGAGTGGAGCTGCAGGAGTTGCAGGCCCATGACGCAGCACCCGCACCACTTTCCTGAGCCTGTAAACACACTGCACTGGCAATGTGGATATGGATATGCATATCCAGGCGAGCTCAAACGAATATGTGCATTTATTATTTTACTTGGCTTGCTCGCATTTTGCAGCAACGATCTGTAGACACAATAAATTACCAATTATATTTTCATTTCATATTTCTGTCATTGATTTCGCTTCCAGACTGTTGGTCCATGCCTCAATGAAATCGGAGGAATATGTGAGCCCCGCCCTGCAGCTCGGGCGAAAATTCATATCCAATATAAGGGACAGTTTGTTTTATCAATCAACAGACAGAATTGTATAACTTTTTAAATTATTTCGGAAAATACACAGACAGATTTACAAAAAAAGGAACAGTCCACAGCCCCTCAGAACATACAGCCAATTATGTTGATGCCCTTCAGTTCTTCTTTTTCTCAAATGCAACGAATACAACATCGTCTGATAAAGGCCATACAAACATAAACCTGAAAATAATCAAGTCCGTTAGAGTTTATGGGCCATTTTTTTTCCATTTCGAATAGCTCACATGGACCAATTATTAAACCAACAATGTTATACACTTTTCCTATGTCACCAAGGAAATCCCAGCTTCTGCACAGCCTGATAATCAGTACAGTCATGACTGTCACAAGCACTGCGAGCATTATTGCTATCCAGATCCATACGAGAAAGCGATTCTCCTAAAAATAAAGACAATTATTGGTATTAATTGTAAGACAGCAGCGGAGTCTTTACACCATTATAGCACCAATCAGAAGACATATTGCAGCTAAAAGTCCAAAGCAGGCTGCCCCCAAATAAATTTTGTTGTACAAGCCAAAATGGTCGCCTGCACATAAATAAAAACAGTTAAAGATTGTTACTGAATTTTGAGCTATTAATATATAAGGTTTATTTACGGGTAGACATATATGCTATAACTATGACACAAACTATTATTGCTGCGATGGCCAAAATACCGCATGTCATTCGAGAAGACTGATCCTGGCGACAAAATTTGCACATTGTACTTCTCTATCACTTATTTTTATAATATATACATTTTGACATTTTTGACACCAAATTTAACAGAAAATTCAAGAATGCGATGATTTCTAAACTTCAACTTAAACTTACAAAAAATATTAATAAAATATTTAAAATTAAATAATTATAATTTTAAATACAACTCAAATGGGATATTTCTGATTTTAATTTACAAATTTCTAAAACTTTCCTAACAAAAATACTTTGAAATAATTTGAGTTTATTCTTGTTTGGGATTGTCTCAAACCCAAACTTAATTGAAATTTAGCAGCCGGAAAAGTGCAATCTTCACCGTAAAGCTAGACCATCCCCCGAGCTCAGTTATCTGAAAGAAAAGCGCGAAAATCCCTTTGTTAGACTGTTTTTATTTTCGTCTGCTGCCGGGACCGTCTATATTTTATTTCCTTTGCCGCTCTATAAAGCCGCCCAGCTGGCTTTGTGGAAAGCCTGCCGCCACATTAAGCCCCCGCCCAGCGAATGGGGGATTGGAAATCAAAAGTCGCCTTTAAAGTGTCTAGGAAATTGTGCATGCATTAAATAAATGAAACTCCCTTCATCCCGAAGGGCGGACAGAGTGACCAAGGGTCGGACCAGGGATAACCTCGGGTCCATGTGCAAATTAAAATGGGAATAACAGTCGACGGCGGGCGTTTGCTAGGGAGAGGTCAACGGTCGGGGGTTTGAGTGTAAAAAATTAAAACACACTTGACTTTGGGGAGGTAAGCAACGTGTAACAAAGGAGAATAAGTATGAGAAGTAGGAATCATTCAAAGCATGAATTAAAAATATTTGAAATATTTTCCAAAAATTCAAGAACATTGAAGATTTTAGTTTTCTTTATGTTATCCCTTGAACCATTGCAATGCAGTTGTTAAATTAAAGCTAGCTATAGATTTCGAAAAGAATATAGAAGTGTAAGGAAATTATTTAACCTGCTTTTGACCCCTCCTTAAGTTTTTTTAATTGCCCTCGCCAATTATAAAGTTAGGCAGAAAATCCAAACTAGCCGAAAAACTAGGGAAAAGCCAAAGGCACGTCAATGAGGAGAGCACGTAATTCAATCTGGGCAGCTCAGTTTTTCCGGGCTCTTTGTCGAGCTTTGTGTGGGCTTACCTTGGGGGAGTGGGTGGGCAGGTGGACTAATTATATTCTCCAATTTTCATGGTTCCCTAGAATTTCTCAGCTCTGAGCTCCCCTTTTTTTTGCTTTGCATATTTTACCATAATTTGCTGTTCTTGTTTGTCTGCCAGTTGTCCTGGCGAACAAATTGCGAATTGAAAACTTCGAAAACTAACGGCAATTACAGAATTTTCCGAAAACCGAAACCAAAGACGAGTGCGAGCCCGAAGAAGCAAAGCCGGGCCCCAAAAGTTGGACTATTTGGCTGACTGTGCGTGTAATTATAATTTTCTTTAAGTCGGTTTGCGCAAACTTTTCTTTATGTCAAAGTTTCGCCTTGCGACCGCAAATAATTTTGTGGAAAAGTTGCCGCCTCTCCCCTTTTCACTGAATTTTCCCGATTTTTCCATGTTGTTGGTAATTATGCTCTTTGTGCGACGCTAGCAAACTTTTGGGTACATCGTCTGAGTGTATTAGTTGTAATGTGCTTCGGTTAGCCCAAGGAAGCGAGCAAGTTGCCAAACTTACGACAACAATAACAAGGAAAAACAAGCGTGGGAGGAGGAAAAGAACCCGTCTCCTTGCCGCTTGTATTTTGAAAACTTACCTTTCGGTTCGACCAGATCCTTTGGCTAGACAATGTGTCTTATTAGCGAGGCTTGCCAGCGGCAAACTTTCCAATGATTTTCATTCATTAGAAGTTCGGCTTCAAATTCTCAGCTAATCACGTTGGTGATGAATGGAAGAGCAACTTTATCAACTGCTTATTGTCATATTTGTTGGCCTGGGCATTCTGAAAATGTTTTACACAAACCCCAGTCGAAAATCATTTATCAGCCGAATGAGTTCAGGTACCATTTGTCTCATAATAAAAGTACACAGTAAACAGAACCCATAAGGAAGGAAATACTATTAAAATTAGTTAATTGCTTATAGAAATGAAATCACTTCTTACCTATTAAAAATGTCAGATGCAAAATGCCAATGATTTTCCACAATATTTTTAGCGAGCTCCAGTCTGTTAGTAGTGATCTTATCCTTAACACAAATTCGAATGTACAGCTAATTGGTATGAAAAAAATTGCCAGGAGCGCTAAATGTATATGTTCCTAAAAAAAGTTAAACGCTTACTAAATTAATCACAGAATTATTGCAGTTTATTACCACATCGGACATCATTTTTATGGTATACGCAAATCCAATAACCAAAACAACCGGAGTGACGAATAAAATATCGAGTGTGCTGACGTTAAATACTGAATAATACTTATTATAAATAATAAATTATGAAATTTTAGAGGAGCCACAATCATATACCATGTCTCAGGAGTCCTATTGAAATGGTCACGCAAACCACACCCACTAAAATCCACAAAATATGCAATTTATCTTTACTGCACATTTTAGGAAAAATAAGGTTTGACATTGAATTCTAAAGTAACTCCTCTTATAAATGCCTAAATTCCACTTCTAATAACTCTCTTAAATGTATCCATCAAAGATTTTCACCTAATGAATTCCATCCATACTTCTGGCAAACAAATGAAAACTAATTTTAGTTGTCTGGCACTTAACACCAACTCACGACTTGTCCATTTCGCCTAATGACCAGATATATGGCCATACTGAGACCGATGCCGGCGGCTGTGATTTGGCTAACTGCGTCTGCATGATTCTCCCTTTGTGGCGTATGGAATGGCATTTTATTGGATTACTCAATCAAATATGTGCTGGGGGAACTCAGGTTGCGAAATAGGTAAATTGGTCGAGATTTCGACAATCAACCTGCAGCTAGGGGTAATCCGCTCAAGCATTTCTCTGTACTGAAATGCAGATTTAACAGCGAACGTTAACTTTAAATTAAACTTTGTACACAACAAGAAATTGTATGTTATGACATTATAATGACATTGTGAAAAGTTGTTTTGCGTTCTGAAGAAAACTAAGGAGTATTTTTAATTTTTTTTTGTGGTTTTTAATTCATTTTTTAGTAAGGATCCAGTCTGGGTCTAAAAGTTTTACGTGATAATCAAAACCAAAGATAAGATTTTGGTTGTGTATATTTGATATTAAGACCCCTCGAACGGCAACATTCCACTGGTGCATTGCTAATTCGAATGCAAGCCCTCGAACATCCTTGAGAGTTATGCAAAGCAGGAGCTGCCGAATGCAAAATGTGTTTTCACTTTTGTTCGTTTATCAAACGGGTGTCGGGCTGACTGGCTGACTGGTTGGTTGGTTGGCTGGTTTGTCGATTTTGCTGGCAAGGCGCCATGGTCCGACTCCAACTGCAATATGACCAACGGCAACAAATAGCTGACAGTAACAGCGGCAACGGCGCTGGATACAGCTGAAAAGTGGAAAAGGACCCGGGGCAAATTCACGACTCGCATATTGAAAACAAAAACTGCAGTCTGAGTGGAGTGAAGACAGGCACACGTGATGGGGGATATTGTGTGATTGTGTTTACGGTGTGGCCGCATAGCTACATGGATGCCTGGATGTTGGGGGCCTCGATGTGGAGCGGGTGCAGCTGCCCCAACTCACAGTCGCAGCCCCTTCACCGCTGCTGTTGGTCCCTTGAAGTGAAGCCAAGTGAAAATGAAAACAAAGTTTAACAAACCGTGGCTAACGAGCTACATTATTAAAACTTCAAAAATGCATAAATTTTGCCGGAGACGAATGGAGCGGACTGGCGGCATTATAATAATATAATGCATATCCTGGGCAGGCATTTGAAAGTTATTGACACCTTCTCCCCTTGTCTCTCCCTCTATCATTCACTCTACAGGCGGGAAACTCGTGACGTGATCGGTCTGTGGCTCCTCCGCAAGAAGGTGTTGCAACACAGACCAGGTTCCCCAAAGCTGCACGATCTTGGCAACGGGCATTGGCACCCAATCCCAGTTCCAGCCCAACTGGATCTGAGGATCGAGTTCGAGACTCGGCTGCCAAGTGATTCTGCGCATATTAGTTGGCCATTAGGCGCACACCATTGTCAGCTGTGAACGGCAGTCAAAAGGCGCATTAAAATTCAGACGGTGTTAAATATTACAAGCGCCCCCTTGCGAAAAAGGGGAAAAGGTTTCGCGCTGATTTGCAGCTGCCACTCAAGTGCTTTCAGAGCGGGTGGAGCCGAAGACGTGGACGCGGACGAGGATCAGCGGATCGCGGAGCTTGTGAAATGTTGTGGCGACGTGATATGTTAATCTCGGGGGCCAAAACGTGGAGCGCTTCGGATGCGGATGTTTGGCAGACAGAAAGCCACTTGTTGGGTCAACATGGCTCAAACTGAAGAAGTGTTCACCAATGAGTCATCTTCGCATATTCATTTGAAACACTACAAATGTTTTTTCAGATTTTATATCTTCATGATTTTTGTTTTTATTGAAATCATTCAAGAATATTTTGAAAACGTTTAAAGTTAAAAAGATTTATGTTTATTCCCCATAATATTGATCAAAACTAAACTATTAGATTTTAAATGCTCTTTAATGGCTTGCAGTTTGAAATCGAACCATCTTCATTCATTTTTTATTACTGTTTGGTTAGTTGGAGATGAACAGCAATGACCACCATGAATTATATCTTACAACAGAAGGAATAGTGCTAGTTCTTCATGTTTATGAAAGTATCTTTGGCATTTTGGACCACTAAAACAGTGATCTTGGCATCTGGTGTAATGAGCACCTCGTGGTATTTGGTACGGACTCTCAAGAAGGTCAACGTTTGTGCTGGCTCCAATTTGGATAGGAATGCCTGACACTTTTCCCGCAAGTTGTCATATAGACAGGCGTACTGTAGGCTCTCCTGACGATCCATCGACGTTTTTACCGGAACACCCGAGTGATTCATGATCAAAATGTCCTCCACGCCCGGCTTCTCTTTTAAGAGACGAAAGGCTTCCTCCACATAACTTTTAGTGCGTTTTGGCTGCCGGTTTTTGGGATGATTTGATGTTAAAGCAAATAAATAAATTCAACTTACATCCACCTCTGCTACTTCCATTTTTAATATACTTTTTCGAGAGTTGACTTATGTATTTGATTTATTTTCTAAATAACTATTGCCTTGGCTGCTTAGATTCTTTTTTCTAATTATTTTTAAAAGTATATTTTGCAATGCAATGTTTGGCATTTCCCTGGAATTTTTTATTCGATATAATTGCAATAAACTGGCACTAAAATATTTTAACTCCGTTATTTGCAGCCATGAGGACAAACAGTAATAAATTGCGCGCGTATCATCCCTGTGACGTCATAATCACGGGCATTAGATGATTTAGCCCGATGTCGAGCAGGGCCAAATTAAGCGGGAGTTATTTGCCAAAGGTGGCTCTAACTCTGCGGCCGGTTGTAATCGGCTCCTAACTCAGCTGCCAAGCATCGTGGACGGCCCACTTTCGAGTTTAGAGTTTCGAGGTGCGCTCCCAGAGCATAAAGTGCAATTATAGCGGTGCAGCGAGGAGCAGGGCCATGAAATACCAACACCCGACAGCTGTAAACAACAATTTGCCGGGCGGCCATAACCGCATCGCGCATCTCGCATCGGGGACCAAATGCCAATAACTCGCCGTTCGAGCGAGAGCGCATATAAAAAAGTTATTTAAAAGCCCAGTCAGCCAAACTCGGCTGGAGTCCAAGAGCCACAGTTAAAGCTTCGTCCTCGGCCAATCCAATCCAACAATGGCAAATGATGATGAGACGTCCAGTCGTTTCAGGTTAAACGCTAAGCGTTTCGGCAGACGCGCAAAACCTTAGACTTGACTTGGCTGAAGTCAAGAGGATGGAAACTTGAATGAAAATACCCCGAACCGGAGAAGCGAACGTAATGAGCAAATTTATGGTCAATTGATAATTTAGAGGCACTCGGACTCATCAATAATGGTCCATTGCGATGCGGCTCTGGATCGACGAAGATGAGGCATTGTTATTGGGAGCAATGTGGCGCAAATTGTGCTAAATGTTTCGGCAGGCCCTGCGCAATTGCCGGGCCCAAAAGCACACACACGCACATAAAGTATATTAATGTGGGGCAGGGACATTATAAGGAACCCTCGGCCATATTTTATATGATTCGACTTTTGACTGTCAACCGGAGAACTGGGTCAGAGGTTCGGCTCGGAGCTGGAAATCCGTGGGCCCGCTTTTGTTGTCTAGGCCTCCTTGGCTCGCAATTTAAGTCGCTAATTGAACGCTTTGTCTGACACATCGAATAAATCACGCAATTTTCAGCTTGCACCTTGCAGTCAGCCGAGGTCTGAGCCCGAACTGAGCTTCCACCAACTGCACGTCGCCATGTTTATGCCAATAATATGCCATAAAGTATAGAAAGGAGCCGGCACAATGGAGCACAGAGCTTGGTGCACATGGGGTCCAAAAGCGGCTGGCTGCCGAGGAGCGGCTTCCTCTGATAAACTTTATGACATCGGAGGGAAGTGGAAGTGCAGCCACTTTGTCAGCGGCCATCGTGGTGCCCCGAAACACTGGTCCTCCGAGCCGGATCTCCATCCCTATCCCTTTGTCCGTGCCCAAGGAACGGCGCTAAAGTTTAAGCATTGCCCGAACTTTACGCACAACTTGCACACATAATTTACGTCCCATCCCCCCGCGCTCCCCTGCGTAATTATTGGCAAGAGGAGTCCAAGAGCCATGTTATATGTGAGTGCATTAGAGGCGACCACAAATTGTTTGGTTTGCTTTGGTTTAGCGCAAATTGTAGTCATAACTTCTTCCCGGGCTGCCGTCAGTCGGACAATCGGGCTTATGATGGCTAAAATTCACCTCGTTTGGCTGACGGAATTTGGGAAAGGTTAACTGGTCTCGAACTCCTCTCTATTACGACGTCATTTACTCGGGCTCGAGTAATGGGGCTCGTTTAAGAAGTTGCACCAACATAACATAGGTAGCATTAGCTTTTGAGGAGGTACCTTAATACGTTATTATTATTCTGAACTTTTAAAGGAATCTATTTAGGCAATAAGATAAAGATAGTAATTTTAATCGATATTTTTTATAGTTACTTAAAGGTAATTTTTCTTGAATTCCTGTTTATTTATTTGCAGGCCAACCAAGTACGCGCCTGTGAATATTCAATTGCACTTTGGTTTCTCTTGGCCAAAAGTATTACCACCTGAGCATTACCACTGTAAGTAGATTGGCCCATCAGGAAGACCCCTTCGGTGGACGGAACCGTTTGTGCCGGCAACTGCCGCAAATCCCACATCAATCAAATTGTCCGTTGCCCCGAACAACAGCTACATATCAACAACTAATGTATCAACAAAAGCTTTGTGTGTGTGTTGCGGGGCACTAAGGGTAAATTAAACCCGACTTAAGTAACCGCTAAGTACGATGGCGCAGATGCAAATTATATTGCCCATTAATCGGCGAAGTCAATCGAAGTCCAAGTCGGCTTTTCTTACCTTGGGTTTGAAAATTTCTTCGAAAGGTGTCTAAAAGTATGCAGTAAAAAATTTAATGCATTATGTGTGTTCTCTATAAAACCTCTCTGTAGTAAAAACCCTATTATATTGGAATGTCAGATCCTCGGGTTCCTACACAATGGTCCCCACTTTGCTTGCCCTGCAATTGGCTTGCATGCAGAATATAATACGGTGCCACGCCTCCGCAGCACTCACACATGCTTAAAGGGACACCTGAGTCCTTGGCCAGGACTACAAGTCGCAGGAGAAGAGGGAGCAGGACTCTGCCTGGGCTTGGACAAACTTCCGAGCCACCAGGATGTGTCCTTCGTTTTCTGCATTGATTTTGAATTTCCAAGGAAGTAGCGCGGAAACTTGTTAGTCCGCCATCCGCCCAACCTCCAACCCTTCCAGCGCCACATAATTTGCTTTGCATGCAGTTTGCAAAAAGGAGGGGAGACACGAGCCTGGCCCAGGCTATTACGCTGGCAAATTGCAATGTAATTAGTTTTTACATTTCTATATAGTCGGCGAACGTATAATTGTGGAAAATGGCATTTCTAGTTAATTAATGGCCTCCTGCTTCCCACCCACTGCCACTGCCAATAGCCCAGGAGTCCCCGTAGCTGGGCGAAAACTTTCTGCACATTTGTTGCCGCTTCTCGGCGTGTGCAGTCAACAAAAAAAAAAAAACAAAAGTGCAGCTGCCACGCCCCCGCCCGCCCACTGTCAACCTTTGGCAACTTTGCTTGAATTGCTTGAAAAATTTAATTAAAATGCTGGCATTTTCATGCCCTCCACTCGTAAAAATATTCGTTCAATGAACACACTCACTCGGGAATCAGGATAAAATCCTGGCAGGATGAAGGGAATCCCTGCTGCCCCCGAAATGCACAAACAGCCACAAGCTGTTGATTCAATTACCAGGATGTTTGATTAAAATTGCATATTCCATAGAGTTCCTTTTTCCATATGCAGGGTATAGCTTTTGTGCTGCCAATTGAATTCGTTCGACTATCAATGCAAACCAAAGTGACTTAGTATTAAATGTCAAATCATTAGCAATCTTAAACTGCATAAAAACGCAAGTGATAAGTACTATTATCATATGTACAAACCATCGTATCTTGTTATCTTTACTTTCCCTGTCGCTTTCTTAGACTCATTTATTCACATTTTAAATTATTGATCAAAAGATATTGAGATGTGCTGCAATGTGAGCCGCCAGTACTGCTGCGTCTTTATCGGAGTGGTGGCGATTGTTGCGGGACTAGCGGATTCAGGATATAAGTACTACCAACTAGGTAATTACAATAGTGAAGAAACATAGCTACGAACAATGAAATTATACTTGTAGCCACACTTGGTGTAGAGAAGTTGACCTTGACAATGGTGGTAACCTGGAACCTCATCATCATGGCAGCAGTACTTCTGATTGTAGGCGCATTAAAGGCAAGTTATCTTGAAATATATTTCAAAATTTGCTTACCCTTACCTATTTTATTCTAGAAAATCCGATTTCTCTTGCTGATCTGGATAGTAGTTTCACTGATTGGCGGCGTTGTTCTGGTCATTGTAAAAATAGTGGTTTATGCTTGCTATTTTTCCAATAATCCTGATTTAGCCTATCACATTTTTGGCGCCAGTTCCATAATATTGTTCATATGTTAGTCAACTTGGTACTGAATTTTCAGTAGCATTTTAATGACAACAATATCTTTTCCTTTTTCAGTATTGATATTTTTGTTTGTGTACTTCCCTTACGCCTATAGGCGTGACCTGGAAGAAGAGCAATACGAATAAATTTTGGTAGATCAGAAATAACATTTTTCGAAACCAATGGTGAATATATTTAAACAGATCCTAGAAATTATTTCTTCTAACTAAGTGCATCTCGTTACCTTTTCATTCCCCGTCATCTAATTATACTCATGTATTCAAATGGAAAATTATTAATTCCAATGTATTAAAATGTGCTGCAATGCAAACCACCGGTACTGTTCCATCTTTATGGGAGTGGTGGCAATTTTTGTAGGATGTTTGGAAATAGGATTCCAGTGCAGCGATCTAGGTAAAATGTTAATTATTTAACACTGTATAAGTGCTCTTGATTATAATTCTAGCTGCTGTGAATTGGAGTACCGAGGATTATTGGAATCGCTGGAAGATAGCGGCAGTTGTGTACTGGATTATCTTAATGATATCCGCAGGTCTTCTCATTTTGGGCGCAATAATAGTAAGTAATCGTGAAAAACACAAATTGTTACATTTATTTTTCTTTTGTTTTAGAAAAACCGCGTTTTGTTGCTGATCTGGATATTAGCTTCATTGCTTTGCGGAGTGGCTCTAATTATGTTGAAAATAGTATTGTTTGCATGCCATTTCTTTAGGGACAAAGATGTAGAGCAACTACTTCTTTTTGGCAGCCTAACGATATTTTATATTTGTTAGTCATATTAAGACAGTATTTTTAGTAGCCCTTTAATGATGTCTTTTATTTTGCAGTCCTTATATTTTTGTTCGTGTACTTCCCTTATGCATATAGGCGTGAACTCCAAGAAGAGCAATACGAATAAATTTTATTAAAGTTTTTTTAAAGCAGTGTTTTTAGGTAAAAACTTCATATATTTGATTTACAATAAAATGGCAAATAATGTTATGTATAAAAAACTACTCTGATCCCTTCTGCTATTTAAAAGGTTTTATTGTAAGGGAGTTGGTGGGGAAAATATGTAATTGCGACTTAAATTAAACTGAGCTAACGGTAAGGGCTCCGTAAATAAAAAGCTAAGTCCTTTTGGCTCAATGATCAACAATTTTTTCAAAGGAGTAGGCGCGGAAAAGTTGTAATTACTTTTCAATCTAAACTGGGCCAGCGGTATTGGCTCCATAAAGAGAAAGCAGCGTTCCTTTGTTTTATTGTTCGACCAGTTTTTGGAATGGATCTGTGGCCGATTCTGTGGCTCCTCCTTTTCCTCGATGGGCTCCAAACGAAAACATTTTGATGTTTCTGGACTAATCTTGTTCTTGTGCTGAACTTTTACTTTCGAGTGCTTGGACACCGCAAGAAGGCGACGCTTTAATATTCTCGCGGCTTTGGTCTCCAAATGAGACTGATTATCCACTTGCCTAAGAACTTGACCACTCTTAACATGTCCAGAAGTATCCACAGAGCTTCCTTTAAATTTAAACACGTCACCGTGCCAATTGTCGGTAAAGTCGAGGTGGCTCAAACTACGATTGTTTGCTGAACTGCCGCCAAAGCAAGTGGGTCCATGGTAAAATGGCGAGCTTAATGCTGTTGTCGTATTCAAGAAATTGAAGGGCCGCGGCTTAGCCCTTGAGGAAGCATGGTGGGTTGGATCAGTGGGAGTTTTACTGCTAGCTCCATCGACATTTCCCTTCTTCAATCTTCTTTCAACCTTGTCCATTCTGAAATACCACGATAATGAAAACAATTTTTTTGAGTCAATTTGTAAATGAGATAAAATTTATTTTGTTTTTGTCAAATGTCTTGAAACATCCAAATCAAAAAGCAACTAGCGTAACCAACTCCAAAATAACCTTGATCGACACCAAGCAGAACGCTTTCTTCAGAATTCTAAAATAGTAAATGGTCGGCAAATTCTTAGTTTTTTAAAGGTAAAATCTAATATTTTGGAATACTATAGAAACAGAAATTAATTATTTTTTAATGGAAAGCAAAGTGGCTTGACTTGAATTTCAAAGAAGTCTGATTATAAAAAATACACTTTTTGAGTATACCAAATTGTTTTAATAGCAATCAAACACGGCCGTAGTGTTCAGTGGACTCGAAGTATTACGATCAACTGTATAAAGCTTATTCGTATTTTTAAATGTTTTCATAAAATAACTTTTTTGTTGGTTGGTATGTTAGTCAACTTTAAATATTCTTTTGAGTACTCCTACTATACTATACTATACCAAGAATAATTTTTACTTTTCAGTGTTGGTCTTTGTTTGGGCATTCTACCCCTATGCTTACATGCGTTAACTGAAAGAACAACAATAGTAAAGTAATATTTTTTATTATAATAATTTAAAGTAGATATCTTTAAATATATAAAAAATGTTACAGAATTTGCAATTTAAAAAGTATCTATATAAGTTCTTGATTACTATCAACAGACGACCCATTTTACCTAAATTCAACATTTATTACTCTGCGATATTTTGACTCTGTTGCACGATTCCAATTTTTTATTAAACAAATAGCAAGCAGTGACCAGAGGATCCGAATTTGCATAAAATAACAAAAGCAATAACAATGGGCGACAACAAATCAAAAGCGAATGGTAAACCGACCGCAAATAGAAAGTGAAAATCAAACACAAAACGCTACCGTTTATTCCTGTGCTTTCGTATCTCGACATTTTCTGTCCGCTTTTCCAGGTCTTTTGTGTTTATTTGTCGGGCGTCTAATTTAAATAAACATTTATTTGTACAGAGCTTTAATACGTTTGGCAAATGACTTCCTGAATTGTGTGCGCCAAGTAGCAGGGTACCAGCCCAACTGCTGCTGTTCGAATTGCATAATCGGTGAGACAAATGCAGTAGGTTATGAAATCCTTCGCTCACAGGCTGCAAATCCAGCTAAAAAAAACACGAGCTACAGCTCAGCGGAGACGCCACCGACCTGGCAACAACCTGTCGCATTTTTAAAGCGATTAACGGCACGATTTCAGTCGCTGCCTGCCAGCAGCAGCAACATCACAGCAGCAGCAACTGCAGCACAACAGTGGCAACACGGTGGCAAGGCTTCAGCATAAAAATTGAAATTGAAATGCTTTTGGCAGTGCCAACACTCTTGGGCCTGAAGTTGGGCAAACGAGACTCACTTGGGTCGAGTATTCCGAACTGGACCATCTTTATCTCCAGGGTTATCGATAAATAATAATACTCAACCTTAAAAAATTTTATAATTATTCTATTTTATTTATATCGATGTAACATATTTTTCTTAAAACAAACTGAGATATTTTAATTATTTAAATTACCCAAATTATCAAAAAAATATTAAAAATTTAACTTTTTAAATAAAATTCTTAGATAATATGATTTCTTATTATAATACATTTCTACGACTAATTTAAAAAAATTTAAAGTGTGTAGCATAGTTTAGTTTATTTTTTTTTTTAGCATTTCCTGTATTTTTTACGGGTTAATTCGTGCCCATAGTGCTGCAACAAAAACATTTGTAAATACTTAAAAAGTATTTCCAGCAATGGAACAAATACAAAATAGGCAACGCGGCCGCTGCAATTGGAAAATTGTGAAAAATAAAATAATATATTGTGCACAACACTTGCATGCTGGGGCCTAAGCCATTGTTGTTGCGGCGCTGCAGGTTCCCCCTACAAGCCATACAGCTCCACAATGAATGACCTATAAATAAAGTTGGCAGCCAAACAACTGGGCCCAGAAATGGCAAACAGCGCGAATTGTGCAATAGAAAAAATAATGTGAATATAACAACCGAAAGAGCCAGATTTTCAATTGGTTTTCCATCCCTTTTGCTTTTCCAGCGTCCTCCCGTTTTTCCGACTGACTCTTGACCTTAGCAGTTTTTCGAATGGTTCCATTTTGTAAGCTGCTCTGGAGTGGGCAAATAGCGACTACAGGAATAGCAAGTAAATAAATATGGGTGATAGTTTTAAGTGCCCTAAAATGATGGCTTCTTTTTTAAGCATAGTTGGGGCTAAGCTTTGATTTTATTCTAATAACTTTGGAACCAACAGCCTCTTGAGTTCCTCCGACGCAGTATAGAATTTCTACATCCCTATGTAGCCCTGGGCTCTCAGTTCGGCTAAATGGCAAAAGCTTTTATCAGCTCCGATTACACACTTTAAGCAACAAAATTGTCACTTTAAATGCAGCGGAAGAACATGGAGCGCCCTCAAGTGGATGGACACCTGAGCGGACGAGTGCTGTGGTTGCCCCACCGCAACATTGTTGCCAGAAAACCACCGTAACCGAAGCCAAGCAGAAGGTAACCCACCCAGGACATTCGGGACATCCAGGACATCCAGGACATCCAGCGAGCGTAAGCTAACTCAACTTAAATAAATTTAATTTAATTACCAGTAAAAACCGCATGAGTAACTTCAGCCCGAGATGAGAGAGCAGAGAAGAGCAGACTGTCGTTATCCGGCGAACTGAGATGCGATGTTGAGCTGCACGTGGAAGTGGAGCACGAGCACCTGAACCTGAGCCATCCTCCCACCCGCTTGGGTTTATTTAGGAAATAACATTTTTGTGGCAACACATTTTTGGATTTCATTACTGGGCCCGTGCCAGGATGCTGAGTGCTCCTCACTCTCGGCTGCTCCGTTGAGGTCAACATGCATTTTATCATTTTAAATAGCAAAGTAGCAGCAGCTGGAGGGCACTCGACACTCGGCGATAAATAACCTTAATGTAGTGTCGGTTCGGGGGTTTTCCCTTGCTTTTGCTTTGGTTACATGTTTAATTACGAGCTGCACAATCTCAAAGCATACTTTTGGGCGGCGCTGAAAAAAGTGCTCGAGAAAGTGTAGTAGAAAAACGGGCTGCAACAGAATGTTAGTGTATGAGTGAGTGAGTGAGTATCTGTGTGACTGTGCCACAACCGGGTGAGTGTGTGACAAGGTCAAGTCGTCACTGCTCCCGATTATAATGCAAATTGGCCTCGCAGTGTTTGCACATGTCGGCAAATACTTGAGCGCCGGTGGCTCGGCGGTCCTTGAGACACATTACCCACTCAACCACACTAACACAGCCGCACCCCCACAGGCACACCGGGCGAAAGTTCCCAGGCGGCCTAATCGGAGGACTTTTTGCTTGGTAAAAGCTGTGAGTTAGAAAGGATTTAGTTCGGGGCTTGAGCTAACTTACCTGTGCTGATATTAAACATTTTATAAATGGAAACGGACGATTCTAAATTTTACCACATTTTAAGCTATCAATCTTTTGTTTTATAATGCAAATAGCTATAAATTAAACATTTATTCTGATGCCAAACCTTATCTGCTCTTTAGCAGCTGAAATCAGCCAAAAGTCATTTCTGTAGACCAACCTCACTTATTTGATTCTATTATTTAAAAGTTTCCTTCGCTTGAAAGAAATTATGTTGAATTTTTTAATCGACCTTTTCGTAATATTATTTGTTTTTTAAATAATACATAGTATTTATCAAGGTGCGAAGCCTTGTTTAAGAGCTTTGTATTATTTACAATTATATTTTAAAAACATTGAAAGCTTTTAGTTACTTACAATAATATTTATTTAATATTAAATTTGTTGTACAAATAAATGTGTAAACTATTCAGGAATATCCTGCTATAAATGAATGCTGAATAACGGGCAAACGTAAATTCAAGTGAAAAGAACCCTACTGTGGCATTCCGAGCAGATGAGTGCCAGATCCTTTTGTGTAATCGCTGCTTAAATGCATTTCATAAATCGTTTACCAGTCCAGCCTTGGGAAAATCCATTCATCGCCCTCGTGAGCCGTTGCCTGGTAACCTAGTTTAATAAATAAATCGCAGTTTTTTCGTGCCCTAGCCGCCGCCCAGCG